ATGCCTTGATCTATCGATCAGAGACTGTTAAGAATGCACTCAGTGAACTCCGCAGAGGCTATTTAAACTGAAATAGTCGATATATGAGGGGGGTGTAATAAGTGTATTTGTCCCCTGTATTCTTGTGAATAAAATCATATTTTGTGTATTTCTTTCTACAGTAAGACCATGTCATCAACTAATGATCAACAGAAAACTGAACAACAACCAAAGCAAATGATGTGCGGTGGTCCCGGTACTCGTGCACCCCGTCACGTCTATACATGTGTGATTAAAAATAAGACAAATGAAGAATTAACATGTGAAGTTGAATATCGTGGAATAGACGATAAACACACCGAAGTATTAAATGTACAAATACCTAAAGGTGAAGAACAAAAAATTAATGAAAAAACATTTGAACATGATAGTGGTACATCGACGGGACGAAAAACTGTGCACAGAATACATGTTAAAAAATATGATGGTAAAACAATAGAAATAAAAGAACCATTTGAAAATGTTACATCACCCCAACAAAACTGGGAATTTCACATTAATGACAATGAAATTAAATCTGTTAATCCAAATCAATAACTAACTTAAAAATGTTTATAAACGTTGAATACATGATTCTGTAGATTCTTTTTTTTATTCTTAATATATGAAAAATCAGCTATATGAACTATGGATTTATTTTATGTGAGGGAAGATATATATATATATATTTATACTTTTTCATTACTCAGAATTTGTTTATTCGGATTTTGTTTTTTTTGGGGTTTGACGTTATTTTTCAAGCGTTCTCTCTAGAAGGTTTTTTGACTATTCTTCGAACTTCATGTTTGTGTTCGCAACAAAATGAGGAACTTTATATTTGAGTGTCTCTTACTATATGGTATGCTGGGATCGAGACCTTGTTCCCACTTAAATTAGTGGTGGTTTGACCCTTTTTTTTCTCGGATTCATCTTCCCTAGAGGAATTCCATTGAGCAGTCCATTTTGGGAAAGAAAGCTAAATATTTCCGAACAGGTCATGTATTCCTGTTCTGGTTCATTTCGATGTAACTGTTCTGGCTTTAGTAAGACAGAAAGAAACGAAGAACGGACAATCAACTAGAGATTCGTTCCTGAGTACAATACTTCTACTAGTCAGGTAGGAAATAAATAACTTTGATTTAAATAATAGATGAGTTTGAAAACTAACAGTCTTTTTACGAATATTACACTGACATTTTTATTTGCAGTTATCCTATCAGTCGGGTTTTATTGTCTGTTTGCCGTTCTATATGGATAGTTTAACGAGTGTATCAAAAAGAACGTAATTATTTTTCACCGTGACCATGTACTATGAATGTTTTACCATTATCATGACGAAACGAAACGATTGTTTATTCTTATTTTCAAAATTTATCATATGCTATCGCTCTATAAATATCAGAATTATTCTGTATTTTCTGTTATTGTGTTGGTTAAATTCATTAGTCTTTTAAATTATATTCTTTGTTGTTTAATATGTTGAATTATCATTAACATTCTATAACCGTTACCATCGTCATGAATTTTGAAAATAGGAATAAACAATCGTTTCGTTCGTCATTTGATCCAATTACGCAAATTAATATTATAATCAGTTTGTAATTCTTCGCGTAATCGAAGGATTTGGTACCTGAAGAATTAACTCATTAGGGTTGATGTAAGAATCAATCACTTTGATCAAGAGATGTGATTCCTGCAGATTTTAATCGATACTATTAATATATTGTCTTGGGATTTTGAAAGCATTTTACGGACTCTAGTGCTGCTAATGGAGAAAGAAGGCCATCTTCAGGCTTCAATAAAGCTAGGAGAAGAATAAGTACAAAAAATCTTAACAATCAAACCCGAGCTCGACGTTCATAGCGACCGACAGAACACATTTTAATTATCAATAATGAGATTCAATGTGCTAGGAAATAAATTTATTAGTTGTTTGAAATGAAATATGTGTAAAAGTAGTGAGCGACTTGTTTTGACATATTTATCACGTGCAAATAGATTGGTTTTATTTCATTGAAAAGAAAAATTTATTGAAAAAAGTAACAATTTATAGTCGTCAATATTTCATTGCAATTCATAAGTCTCATTGTTGGCAGTTTGTAATGATAAATGAGCATGAAATGGGTGGATCGTCGTTTGTAGTGCTCTTAGATGACGATTACTGGCAAGAGTGGGAGGTATTTAGACTAATTGTCTACGACAACGACGAGAGAAAAGAATAATTCTTTGGCAAAATACATTGCGAAAGAATCGACGCATAGAAAGATGTGGCAAAATTAAAAAAGTACAATGAGCCACCAAGTGTTTGAGCGAACCCTTGTGCAGCCTGTTGATCGACTGTTTTATCCAAGTTTGTACTGGTGATGATGAAGTAACTATACGAACCAAGACGTAGTAGAATAAGAAATGCGCTTAGAACCACTTGTATTACAATGATCTAAATGTTGAAAAATCCACTAATTAGTTTAGTTATTCATTAGAAAGAGTAGCACTAAAGAGAAAAATCATACCGTGACAATTTGTGATTCGAGACGTTGTGTTCGTCTATGACTAGAATTATTTTTCACTATCATTGTGGGTGCCACTCGTCGTCTTGATCTTCTGAGATTCAACAAAGTGATGAGAGAGAAAATCAACATAAGAACATGAGGCAAAAGCGAAACAACAATAACTAAATAGCCTGCAAAAATGAACTATCAAATTACCAGCTGCCAATCGGTATGCTACTTTAGATTGAGTCCATGCACATAATCCAGCGTTCTCTGATGTAGCAAAACATCGATCCATAACAGCCAAAAGCATATAGTAAGAAGTCAGTGCAGGCAATGTCACAACGAGATAATAGCGCAGTTTACAGTATACAACTGATCGACTGTCTAACGTACTTCCATATTGAATAGTAGCGAAACGAGTTGGAATGCAGAATATAATAGCGAGTAGCTGAAACATAGTGGCGCATAATAAATAGACCACAGATGAAGACTGACGCATCTGTCGACTAGTGAATGTAATGAGATTACAAATACCACCAATTATACCAAATATGAGAGTGAAAAAGTCAATATACCGGATGATCTGAGAAGAGATTTGATATAGTGTTGTCGGATAGCTGTTGATCGACATACGTGTGTTTTTGTTCTGTTACTTGTTGAATAAAGTATATAATGATTCTGAGAGTAATAAAGAAAGTTCTGCTTGTTTCTCGTTGTATTATCATGTGACTTGATGAAAAGTGAAATGTTCTCAGTATTGATGCCTTCATCGTGTCATTAACTAAAACTTTTACATTAGGTGATGTGTGTTTAATGATAAATGCAAAAGAAAAAATATCTGATGAATGGAGCTATTCAAGCAAGATCTGACATATATAGAATGAAAACTCAAGAAGCATGTAATGAGTTATGATGTCAAGAATAGAAGAACCATTCCTGATGGTGGAATTGTGTTTGCTTTAAATCTGTTTTTGTTTCCATTCTGATATAGAATTGTTCATCATTCAATGGCTGTGCATCTTTGTCTACAACATGGTCGACAAATGGAGAATGTACATACAGGGAGATTATTGACTTAGAGGAACTTCTGACGTCGTCTCATCTTGTCTATTGCCGAAGTGTAATTTCTTACTCGCATTTTGTCTCTCATTGCACAGGCACAAATAGCTGCTGCTTTCGCAGTAGGATCTCGTAAAAAACTAATTAGTCGGAACTGCTGCCATAGAGAAATATCGTCCCGAAAATTGTAGAAAAGCGGACACAGCTCGAAAGTCAAAGAGCTTGCTCAAGAGAAGAAGGTTGACGTGTTATGGCTAAAAAGGTGTAAGTAGAAAATATAATAAAACCGTAAACTTTGTTTAAACTCCCATAAAACGTCGATGCACTGTATTGTCTCGGATAACTGAAAATTACTTGCAACAATCCCAATAGAATGCTGGTAGATATTAGCAAAGAAAAACATTTTTCGTAACATTCAACTGAAACTTTAGGAAACCAGCTAAAACATTATATATAAGCACTTGCAGCTGCATGTTTCTCAAATTGAAATGCTGAGCCATCTCTCACCTAATACCTTAAATATGGACAGTGATGCGTGTAAAATAGCTCTTCGTTTAAATCTGAGTGTTGGTTTAGAACAGACTGCTTGAATTTGAAAAATCGAATTGTTCAGTCTGGTGACGGTTGATTGGCTACTGCCATCATGCACAATATTTGTTTAGTTTGTGAAACACGAATTGACCTCCTGATTGTTGCCACTCTACCAACCGCGTGTATGTCCTAGTTCCCTTGTCCGAATATGGCAAAAGAATACGAGAACTCATAATAATAGAAAAATCATCGGCAGGCGAATGGTGGCCTATGTCTCTCCGATTTTTTGATCAACATATAAGTCCGAAACATTATCTATTAGGAAATGAGTTGTTGCAACATGAAT